TGCACAGCCTGTTTCATTCATTCTTCTAGATGAAGTGGCTGTCTAAGGGGGGTTGGAGGCGTGCCTGGCTCATCAGTACCTGAAGAATAAAGCCATTGAACTGTTGTGTCTGGAAGAGACTTCAAATGTCACTTGTGCAACTGGAAAAGGTAAACAGAGCAGTGACCTACCTGGCCTAACTGGAGGGACAACAGCTTCCACCAAAAAAAACCGAAGTGTGACTTTTCACTATTTATTTATTATTGTGTGCATGATCTATCAGAGGGGACAGTCAGCTGTGGCAATCATATGACAGGGAAAAGACAACTTCATGGGATTTTTCTCTCCTGCCACCTTCACAGGGACTAAGTGCAGGCCGTCAGACTTGTTTGGCATGTGCTTGCCCAAAGGCGGAGTTCAACCCCAACTGTGACTTCATGGTTCATCCAGCTCACCTAGATTACAATGAGAAATGTGAGAGATGAGGATGGCAATGTCATGGTATTCTGTGTATTGGCAACTTTTGTGTCCACTTGACACAATCTAGTCATCAGAAAGGAAGAGACCTCAGTTGAAGAAATGCCTCTACAAGATCCAGCTGTAAGGCATTTTCTCAATTAGTGATCAACAGGGGAGGGCCCAGCCCATGGTGGGTGGTGCTATCCCAGAGCTGGTGGTCCTGGGTTCTATGAGAAAGCTGGCTGAGCAAGAGCAGCACCCCACCATGGGTTCTGCATCAACTCCTGCCTCCAGGTTCCTGCCCTGTTTGGAGTTCCTACCTTGACTTCCTTCAATAATTAACAGCCATATGGAAGTGTAAGCCAAAAAACCCTTTCCTCCCCAACTTGCTTTTTGGTCATGGTGTTCTGTCATAGCAATAGAAACCCTGAGACAATGTGACTGCTGTTGTTTGAGACAGGGCCTCTACATAACCCTGGCTGGCCTGGAAGTCACTATATAAACCAGGCTGACCTTGAACTCACTAAGATCCACTTGTCTCTGCCTCTCAAGTGCTAAAATTAAAGGAGAGTGCCACCATATCTGGCTATAAAGTGTGATTATTTAGGCAACTGTACCTGGAACATGGGTGTCCCATCTCAAGGACTTGTGCCCACTACCATCTGGTACCCTCTTCTCACTGAAGTTACAAGCATCTTGCTCACTGTCATAGCAGACAAGGGGTAATCTGACACTATTTTGATTCTGACTCAAAAAAAAATCTTCATATGCCCTGTGTGATGGTGAACTCCTTTATTCCCAGCACTCAGGAAGCAGAGGCAGGTGAATCTCTGAGTTCAAGGGCAGTCTGGTCTACAGAATGAGTTCTAGGACAGCAAGGACTACACAAAGAAAGCCTATCTCAAAAAACAAAAAACAAAGTGTGTGTGTGTGTGTGTGTGTGTGTGTGTGTGTCTGTGTCTGCATGAGTTCATGTCTACCATATGTGTTCAGTGCTAGGAATCCAACTTGGGTCCTCATGGATATCAATGCAGATGCAGACTCTGATTTCTGTAGGACCATGGACCCAGACATATGTATATTGAAATCCCTCACAGGTGTACCCAGACACTTGGGGTTTTGGGGGGGGTTGTTTTGTTTTTGTTTTTATTTGGCTTGGTTTAGTTTTTCAAGACAGGGTTTCTCTGTGTAGCCCTGGCTGTCCTGGCACTCACTCTGTAGACCAGGCTGGCCTCAAACTCACAGAGATCCTCCTGCCTCTGCCTCCTGAGCACTGGAATTAAAGGCATGCACTACCATCACCCTGCTTGTATGTGGGTGTTTTGTCTGCATGCATGAAAAGAGCATTGGATACCATGGGACTACAGCCAAATGGACTAGAGTCAGACAGTTGTGAGTCACTATTTGGATGCTGGGAGTTAAACTCAGGACCTCTGGAAGAACAGCCAGCACTCTTAACTGCTGAGCCATCTATCCAGTCCCCATAATCATATTTTTAACATAAGAGATAGGAACCCACAATTGCAAACTGTGTTTCTCTTTGGGGCTTATCCCATGGGAGCTCAGGAGATCACTGTGGTTAACAGAAGTCTGCTGGAAGGTGAGGAGACTGATGAAAACTGGGCAGTGAGCGCAACACACCTGCTCAAACACGGCACTGAGCAACAGTGGCCCCTACAGGTCAGCACCATAACTACACTTGAGACTCTCCCACTCTCAGCCACATAGGTGGCTGGAATGCAGCCTACAGTAACTGAAATCATCTCATATGTACTAATAAATTTAAATTTTAAGACATCGAGCTGGGCATGGTGGCATTCACCTGTAATCCTAGGAACTGGGGTGGGGGAGTTAGAAGCCAGCTTTCACTAGAGTGTGCAGCCAACTTGGTCTGTAAAACAGAACCCTACAAAACTACACAGGTTTTCACGGAACCTTAAAAATTGTAATAGATCAAGATGCATGTATGCAGTTAAAAAAAACCCAAGACTTCCTAGTTATTCTTAATTTATAAGAGAACTGTATGTCCATGTTTAGTAATTCACTGTCACCGTGGCCAAGGGCACAAGTAAGTGTGCACCACTTGATGAGATGAAATATAGTTCATTTTCCAAATATACATTCAGCCATTAAAGATGGGTAGACTCCTGTTATCTGTGGCAAAATGGATGAAACTTGAGGTTTGGTGAATAATCCAGGCACAGAAATGATCTCACACCTATGGAATCTGAAAAAGCCAATCTCCTAGGAATCAGGAGCAGAAAGGTGATTTTAAGAGGCTAGGAAGAACAGGAAGGACATCTAAAGCAGTGGTTCTCAACCTGTGGGACCCCTTTGGGCAATCCTCTATCTTCATAAATATTTACATTGGGATGCCTAACACTAGCAAAATTATAGTCATGAAGTAGCAATCAAAGTAATTGTATGGTGTGTGTGTGGGGGGGGGGGTGTCACCACAACATGAGGAACCATATTAAAGGGTTGAGAACCACTGCCCTAGAAAAAGGTGGGCTGTTGCCACTGGCTACTAAATTACAGCTAGAATAAGCTCATGCGATTACACACAGCAGGGTGTACTGTGGATTTCACCTATGTATCTTATGAGCACTGATGTTTTATCTGCATGTATGTCTGTATGAGGGTGTCAGATCTCCTAGAACTGAAGTTAGAGACAACTGTGAATTGCCATATGGTTTCTGGGAATTGAACCCGGGTCTTCTGGAAGCACAGCCAGTGCTCTTAACCCCTGAGTCATCTCTCCAGTTTCTGTGGATTTCAAAAAGCTAGAAGAAAGGACTTCTTTGCCCTGATTTAATCATTAAACAAAGCATGCATTATCAAACAGCATATGTACAACTCTAAAATACCTTTCCGGGGGCTGGAGAGGTGGTTCAGAAGTTAAGAGCACTGGCTGCTCTTCCAGAGGTCCTGAGTTCAATTCACAGGAACCACACAGTGGCTCACAACCATCTGTAATGACATCTAGTGCCCTCTCCTGGCCAGCAGGCATACATGCAGGTAGACCACTGAATACCTACTAAATAAATCTTAAACACAATAAAACATAACGTTCTGTGTGTTAAAAATAAATCTAAGAAGAGGGAGAATAATAAAAAGAAAAAATCTAAGAAGCTGAGTGTGGTGGCACAACCTTTAATCCCCCAGCACTCGGGAAGCAGTGGCAGGTGGATCTCTGAGTTTGAGGCCAGCTTGGTCTACAAAGCAAGTTCTAGGACTGTTACACAGAGAGACCCTGTCTTGAAAAATGAAAATTAATCAATTAATTAATTAAATCTAAGGTGTTGGAGAGATGGCTTAGCAGTAAGAATACCCCCTTGCTTTCGCAAGGACCCACAGGGAAGTCCACAAGCATCCGTAACTCCAGCTCCAGGCACATGTTGCACAGACACGAATGCAGCACACATTCAGAACAAAGCAAATCTAGGAGAATAAATCTAAAAGCACAGCGGCAAAGAGCATCAGGAATGGTGAGTGTCGGTTGCTCTGGAGAACTGGGAAAGGGAACACGGATATTGGCATCTATGATGACACTCTTACCCTTCCTAAGATTGTACTTTCTACCCTGATTTTTAAAAATACTCTCTTAAATAGAAAGCAGAGGAAGGGGATGGAGAGATGGCTCAGCGATTAAGAGCACTGACTATTATTCCATGGGACCTGGGTTCAATTCCCAGCACCCACATGGCAGCTTACAATTGCCTACATCTCAACCTCCTGGGGATCTGACATTGACAGACATAACATGCAGGCAGAATACCAAAGCACATTAAATAAATATATCATTTAAGAAAAAAAAGAGGAAAAGACTTCCAACTTGATTCTCTAAATTTGCTGTAACAATGTTAATAGATTTGACTCTATATAAAGGGGATGGAAATTAGCTCTGTGGGCAGATTGCTTGCCACTCCAGGCCTAGGTTTCCATCTCCAGCACTGTGTCAAACTGCCATGGTGATGAACACCTGTAATCCCAGCATTGGAAAGGTGGCAGCATGATCAGGAACTCAAGGTCACTTATTGTCAGCTACATAGGGAGTCCAAGACCAGTCTGGACCCTGCATTTAAGGGCGGGGGGGGGGGGTAAGGTGGGGTGGAGAGAAGGCTCAGCATCTTCCAGAGGATTCAGATTCAATTTCCAGTACCCACACATCGGTTCACAACTGTAACTCCAGCCCTGGGGGTCCATCACACTCTTAGGATTGGTGCAGACACAGACACACATCTACGGAAAAGACCCAAACACATAAAAATACGGTAACAGGCAGGGCAGGGAGCATGGCTCCGTGGGAAAAGCACTTGACACACAAGCATGAAGGGCTGAGTTTGGAGCCCCAGCACCCACACCGACTCCTGGTGGGTAGGGACGCCTGTCATTCCAGCAGCTAATGAGGATTACAGACGGGGGATTCCTGTTGGCTATGTAGACTAAAGGAATCAGCCTCAATGTGTAGGTAGAAAATCATCACATTACCTGCATTAGTGCGTGTACACACACACCATCTTTATTTCTTAAACCAATTTTAAAAAAGTACAGAGGACAGCTTAAAAGCCAAAGTTTTAATAAAAACATTATGACAAACAAGTCCTTGTGCTAGAAACACATAAAAATTATGAAGTCTCAAAGGGACCTCTGAATCAGCTTCGGCCAAGATTCTAACTCTCCATCATCTTCTACACACTGGACATAAATGCCATTGTCACATGTGGCCACATCATCATAGCTCCTTAGCAATTCAACTGAAGTGTTTAAGTGTGTGTGTGTGTGTGTGTGTGTGTGTGTGTGTGTGTGTGTGTGTGTGTTGATCAAAATGAGTACTGGTCAGGTGTGATGACAGACTTCTAATTCCAGCACTTGGGAGGCAGAGGCAGGTGGATCTCTGGGTTCAAGGCCATCCAGAGTTACAACACTGATCCTGATTTTATTTTTGTTGTGTTCATCATAACATGGTCTCGTTTCGAAGGATGGCCTAGAACTCGTGATCTTCGTCTCTACCACTTGACTGCTGAGACTCCAGGTGTGCACTGCCACACTCATTTACTGGTGTGGGGACTATATTCCAAGTTCCTGATGCTCCAACTTCATTCTCTTGCTTTGAAGAATCAAGCTGGGCAGTGATACACACCTGTAGTCCCAGCTCTTGGGATGCCTGGGGGGGAAAGCCTATCTCAGGAAAACAGTTCTAATTAGGCAGTAGAAACTGGCCAGCTCACTGCATTGTGTGTGTTATGAAAAAGCACAACCTGGGTCCTCATGGCCACAGCAATGATTCAGAATCCACCTGCAAATCTTAGCAAGCCATGTCACTTTCTTACTTAGTAATTTGGGGCACTGTCAACAATTTTTCCCCAAGAAATGAACTGTTTATTTTCCCCCTACCCTCATTCTTGACAACAGCCTCTCAGTAGCTCTGTCACCGGCATTTAGCTTGGCTCATAGTCAGTGATGGCAAGGGCATGCCACTCAATGCTCCTCACTGGTGACAACAGAGAGGTGTGAACACACATTTGTAACTGGTTGGTGTGCCACCCGCCGCTTCCCCACACTGAAATCAGTCCCCCAAATTCTTTACTGTCATCCAAATCTTTCCACACCATGACTCTAGTTACCTACAAATGTCCCATCCTCCTTAGGCATCTGCAGGGGCTCAGTGTGACAGTAGACCCAGTGGTGGCTGCTATGCAGTACAGAGTGACAGCACCACAGAGCAGGTACGCCACTGCTTCCCGGTGAGACCTTAGATGCTCAGCAGTGACCTTCCCTGCATGCACTGTGAGCATTCAGGCTAAGAAACCTATGAGCATCAGCACAAGCCCGGGCTCTGGCTTATGGTCTGAGGTCACTCGAGGCATCCAGGAGTGCTTTTATGAGTGACTTCAGCCCCAGAGTTCCCAGCAGGTGACAAGTTCTGGGACAAGAATGAAGGTCTGTCTACCCCACACAGTCATGAGCAGGAGTCATACATGGGGGAACACCCTTCGTTGACTACAGCATTTTTTGTTGTGGTGGTGCTGGGAACTGAACCCAGGACTTCACATATGCTAGGCAACCATTCACAACTGAGCTAAATCCCTCGCCTCACCCAACAGTGACCCACTGTCATTTGGAACACTGCAAGTCATGCACACGAAACTGTGCTGTGGTCCCCAGCATGTGAGGGTACCTCTCCCCTTCAATCCCGGCCAGAGGAGGGGACTGTGAGTAGTGAACACTGCTCAGAGGACAGCCTTCATCTTCTCTACTGCAAGGACTCTCTTCCCTCTCTATTCGGTCTTCCATATCCCCAGCTTCCTATGATGGCATTTACTTAACCAAGAAATAACTGTAATAAAAAAAGGTCACTAGTGACACAAATTCACCAAACCCATCTTTTGCTAAATGTGGCTAGGTTGAGAATATTTAATTTCAATTTCTGAAAAATTAGTATCTTGATTTAGTCAGGTTTGGGGATCACTGGAGATCAGACGCTGTTAGATACAAAACGATCAGGGAAAATCAGCGTTTCCTTGGGCTTCTTCAGAGTAGCCGCAGGAATGGCTAAGTGATGCCAAATAAAGCATCGTCACTCAAACTTGATGCCTTGAGCCAGAGGCAGGTCCGTGCTGTAGTTGATGGTACTGGGGAGAAGAGAATTAAATGAATGGCAGAGCACACATAATATAGAACATTTTCATAACACAACAACATAGGTCCATTTATCTTAACAGCTTACAAGTTGGTAAAAAAAAATTAGTATACAAAACAATGTCAGTGTGATTCCTCATAAAAAGAGAATAACATACGTCTGGAAGATGCACATCACCACTTACTATCAACTTGGCCCCCCAAGTCTTGCTCAGCCTTCCAAGCTGGTTCCCCCCACCCTTAAACTTACAGGCCAGACCCCCCCCCCATGGTGCTCTCTACTTCACTGGAAAGCAAGAAAACTCCACCACAGGAGAAGTGGCAAGGATGGCTCCTCCCACCTCATCATGCTGAACGACCCAGTCCTCTGGTCCATATCCCACCTCTGGAGTAGAATCCAACAAGGATCATAGTTGTTACGCTAGATGAGGGTGAGAGTCTTTCACTGGAAATGTGTGGGAGTGACTCTTTTAGACCTTTTTCTGATTTGGGAATATGTGAGTATTCAGGAGACACCTTGGGGACAGTCCATTCCTGTTTCATGTACCTCTGCAAACACTGCCTCCAGGTAATTTCATACATTCCTAGTATACCTCCATTATGACTACCACCCGTCATATGACCAGCTGCAGAAGTTCCGCACACGTTACGGCATGCCAATGCAGAACTGCTCAGATTTGGGAGCATTTAGGATTAGTGTGCTTAACCTGTAGTGTATCGTGCATACTCAAAAAGATGCAGCTACATACAGAGTCTGGAAAAGCAAAACCAAGAGAGCCTGAGCAAAGACAAAACCGGAAGACAGAAGAGCAACAGCCCACTCCCAAGGCTTCAAGCGCGAACCCTCCCCCGCAAAGCCTTTCCTTACCACGTGGATCTTCGCATGTACTGCTTCCAGGCATCGCTGCCAGATTCCCTGCCACCGCCCGTGTGCTTCTCCCCTCCTACAGAGATACAAAGTCATCTCACACCTTTCCTGCGGCCCTCAGAGGATACGGGGCTATCAGATCAAGACTGGGTAGGGTAGTACACACCTACAGTCCCAGCCCTCAGAGACTGAGGCAGGAAGATTATGAATTCAAGATCAGCCTGGGGTATGTGTAATATATGAAGTGCTCCCCCTCCGCCGCCAAAAAGAGAAAAGCAGAAGCAAATGGAGGAGAAGGACGAGGTGGCGGCAGTGGCAGCTGGAGAGGAGGCTCGGTGGTTAAGAGCACTGTCTACACCGCTGGATAGGGCCCAGGTTCAGTTCCTAGCACCCACGTGGCAGCTCACAACCACCTGTAACTCCAGTTCAGGGTACCTAGCACCCTCTTTTTGGTCCCTGCAGGGACCAGGCATGTAAGTGGTATTCACATATACATGAAGACAAGCACTCACACATATAAATAAATCTTTAAATTTTTTTAGTTAAAAAAAGGAAGAAGGAAATCAACACAGAGACCCACAGCTGAACAATGTGCAGAGCGTGAGAACTCTGGAGCACCCGGCTTTAAAGGCACCATCAGAGCCCTTCCCTCAAGGCTTAGGGACCTACGTGGGAGAGGGAGCAGAACCCAAGCGAAGTGTCTTCCAGACACAGCAGAACTGATGTCATATGAACAGAGACTGTAGCAACACACACAAAACCTTTACAGGTTCAAGTCAGATGGGATCCCAGCACCATAAGGGAGAAATGAAGACTGGGCCCCACCCCTAACCAAGCAACTATTTGCAAGTGACACCCAATGGCAAAGGGGAAATCATTCCACATCGAGGCCCCATGTTCCAGAGTAGTTAGCCAAAACGAAGGGAATTCCGTGCTGTTTTTTTTAATTTTTTACTTACTTTTAGCACTTCTTTTTTTGTCTTATTGGTTTTTTGCTTGCTTGGGTTTCGTGTGCATATGTTTAAAGACAGAGAGGGGAAGGAGAGGAGGTTCTGGGAGGCCACTTATTTTTACCATACTTTGTGTTTTGTTTCGGGTTTTTTGTTGTTGTTTTTCTTTTTTCAGGCTGGGTCTTTCTGGCCTGGTACACAGTCCAGCCTGGCCTCATTATGGCAATCCTTCTGCCTCAGCCTACAGAGAGCTGGGATTCCAAGCATGGGCTACCACACTCAGCCATGTTGGCTAATTTGTTTTTAATTTTTGTGTTACATTGATTTATTTTGTGTCCAAGTGTTCATAAGTGTTCATACCACAGTGTGAGTGTGAAGACCAGAAGGCAACCTCCAGGGGCAGGCAGGTCTTTCCTTCTGGCTTATGGGGATTGTACTCAAGAGTCTCAGGCCTGGTAGCAAATGACCTTACCCACAAGCCATCTTTCTGGCCGCACTATGAATAATTTTTAACGAGTTAAACTTAATATATACCCAAAAAGATTTTTAAAAACTACAATGAAATATCAGTAGCTCATAGGGTCCAGGAAAAATAACTGCTTAATATTTCATCTAGTGAAATACAAGGAGGGAGCAGATAAAGTCTTGAGTGAATGCATACTGTTGACATGGGCACAGCCATGCCAAGGATCTCAACACCTCAGATCCACGAGAATGGCAAGGCCTTCCCTAGGTCCAAGTATGGGTGCCCACTAACAATTGAGCGTTAGCTAAAATCTGTGTGTGCAGAACATTTCAAGCACAGCCCCCTCATCCTGAAGACTACAACCTGAGTTGTTCCCCACAGGCCTTCCTGTGGACGTCAGCGAACCTGCCTCCTGTTCATACTCTAGATGGTAAATGCCCTGAGTCCTAGGCTGCTGCTGTGTCTCCATCAGGCTGCACAACCCACCATTTCTCAGCTTTTCTGCGTGTCTGTCATTTCTTCACTCCTTATCCCCCACTCAATTTCTAAGCCCATTTTACATGGTATTTGCAAATGGGTTGTATTTTGTTTCCTAGCTTTGAAGCAGAAGTTTTAACCTTTCTGGCTCTAAGATCTGCCTAGAAAAACACTGAATCTCAAGGCTCATGTATCTTGAGTTCAGGGCCCTGCTCCAACCTAAGCCAAAGATGAGGACTCTGGTAAGAACTTGGGTTGGAGTGCATGTTCTTTCAGGCATGCTAGGTCACAGGTTATTACAGAACATAAATTGTATTTCCATTTCCTCTTTTCTTCGTTTTGTTTTGTTGGTTTTTTTGTTTTGTTTTGTTTTTGAGACAAGGTTTCTCTGTGTAGCCCTGGTTGTCCTAGAGCTCATTCTGTAGACCAGACTGACCTCAAATTCAAGAGATCCACCTATCTCTGATTCCTAAGTGCTTTGCTGGGATTAAAAGCATATGCCATGATGGCCCAGCTTGTGTTTCCACTTCTTGACAAACTAAAGGTGAACATTACTGTTCCTCTGCTGCTCACTGTGAAAAGGAGTAACGAGGGCAGAGGCTCTTAGCTTGGTGTAGAGTGTTGGCCTAGCATCATGACAGCCTAGGTTTAGTCCCCAGTACCAAAATAAAAGGAAAAACAAATCTCTACATACCAAATGCACCACCAATCTCAGCCCCGCTGGTAGGAATATTGACGTTCACAATGCCACAGTCTGAACCTTTGGGTCTGTGTGTGTGGGGAGAGAGACAGTGAGAACACACAGGAAATTAAACAAAACAGAACAAAGCCCAGGCATTCAGGCTCTCACCATGAACACAATCACTCACCACATCAAACTCAATAAGTACTCAAAACAGACTAAGTTATACCCAATCCATCTGAAGATTCTGCCCAAATCCTTGGTAAAAATACTACTTGAAAGTCCTTGTTTCACTTCATTATTCCATGCAAAAACCTCTTGTTCATTCTAAAAGGACAAGATTGGGAGCTGTTAGTGTCACCAGTATTACTATGCTCAGGTCAAAGCTCATTTCATAAGATACAGTGTTAGTGCACAAAAGAAACTCAATTGCCTTGTTACATCTGTTTTCTTTCATGGTCTGGATCTTTCCCTTTTTACCTTGAATTTGAAGATGTAGAGAATTGGGGCGAAAGTCTCCTCGTGCACAATGGATGCATCATGGGCAAGACCAGTCACAATGGTGGGCTCTACATAATTGCCAGGGTGATCCATAACCTTAAGAGAAAGATGAAATAAGAAGAGTGGATGGATTTCCTTTTCTAGGACTTGAGATCAGAGGACACCATCATTCCTACATTTACGAGGAGAAAATCAAAACAGCCTTTACAGGTAAACTATTTCTCCAAAGAAAGCAGCATCCTGTTTGGAATGAAAATGCCCTCCTGCTCCTACCCGTCAGAGAGAAAAACAGAAAAAGGTGTTTGGAAAGAAAAACCATGCCGTGTGCCACACTGAAGTTATTTGGCGAGGCAGACTGCTGAAATGCTTTTTAAGTTAATTTAAAATAGGCAATCTGCACCCATCGTGTTACTGACTAAATAGTGTTCTGTCCCAATTCATACACTGAATATGACCAATACTCAGAGTGACGGCATCTGGACATAGGACCTAATTCAATACGGCCAGCATCCCTTGTCCTTTAGGGAAAGGTCATGTGAGGACTCATCCACAACCCAGAGAGAGTTCACCAGAAACTAACTCTATCAGCACTCTGGTTCCGGTCTTCAACATCCAATTTCCAGTGCTTCCAAATCAGTTTCTGACACTTTGTTATACAAGCTCTAGGAAATTCATATACATTACACAAAATTCCAAAAAGGTGCATTTGTAACCACACAGCCTGTCCACTTAGTGGGTAATAGTCTTTCCTCATGAAACACCCCAGCCCGCTAAGTTCTGCATCAACCCTGTACTCTAAACTGTTTGCATGCAACTCTATCTGTTCCTCCATGAGCATACTGAACCATGAACTTAAGTGTCACACAAGGGCAAACCCTATTTCTGTAACGGTTAGGTTAAGTTCTTTACAGAAAGCTCAATGTAAGAAAAGAAAGCACACAAATATACACCCACATGGTATCCAAGCAGATATAAGTGTCTCCAATCTGGGGGCATCTGCTTTCGGATTGCCTTGCAAGGACTGGGCCTCCACAAGCTTTAAATGAAATGCAACTAAACAAGCAATAAACGAGGGTACACCTTTTGTGCAGATGGAGGCGACCAATCCATGAAGCAAGGCCTTGACTATACATAGTCCGAACACACCACATGGTATCCAAGCAGATATTAAGTGTCTCCAATCGGGGGCATCTGCTTTCGGATGTAGTTCTCAATGGGGAGAATGATGCTTGCCTTTAATCCCAGAACTCAAGACAGGCGGAGGCAGGTAAACACTGAGTTCCAGGCCACCAGAGTTACAAGATAAAATGGTGTCTCAAACTACAACCAAAATGTAGTTCTCAGGTGTTGAAAATAACAGTGTGTTTGTGATTTCTTTCCTTAATTTTCCCAAACAACCAGTAGACATGAACTCTAACTACCCTGAATATTGTTTTATTCCACAGCACACCCAGACCCTTTCCATACAAATCCCAGGGGCTGACTTAAAGGCAACCATGACTGAGTTTCTTCTGTGTCATCATGCGTTCCTCAGAACCCTTCTCCCCTTTGTGACAGGGATGGGGAGAAGAGCATCCATGCAGCCATCCAGGACCCTTCACCAGATTTTCTCAGCAATCTGTGCTCAAGGGAAAGAAAGAAGCGAGGCTGTGACTACCCACCCACAATCCTCATTACCTTGCCCCCGTAGACCACCGTGCCTCCTTGTTTCTTTATCTCTTCCACGGCTCTAACAAACATGCTCACTGCCTGTTTGGTGTGGAGTGGTCCATAGAGAATATTCCCTGGGGAAAGAGAAGGGAAGCTCTTCATTTTGCCCTCAATAGCATCATTTTATTATGTTAGTGGCTTTCAAAACTAACCGGCTAAGCCCTCCTCCCTACATCCTCAGTTAAGAGCAAGAATCAGCAACTCTCTCCCTGACGGACCAGATTCTTAATATCTTATGCTTTGTATCAAGTATGTGGCTTCCAACACAATTACTCAACTCTGCCTTTGTAGTCCCAATGCTGCCACCCACAACACACAAATGAGTAGGGGTGGCTTCGAGGCAGACACAAACAGCCAACCAAATGTGTTAGCTAACCTCTGCCTTAAAGGAAGTTATCAAAGTGACGCCCTAAAAGCACAGGAGTGGCATGTTCATAACAGTGTGCCCACTCTTGAAGACCATTATAATCTCTGTGGCTAGTGTGCAGTTCCATGGGGTAGACTGCAGGAAACGAAACAGGTAGACGGCCGGGAACTGAACCCCTGAAGTAACCAAGGTGGGCGAACTGGAGCCCAGGCCGAGTGGACACGGGTCTAGTGGGCAGTAAGGGGAAGGAAGGCAGGAGCAACGTCATAAAAGCCTGGGCATCCGCCACAGAGGGATTCTGATTTTAGTCTAAGAACAGTGAGAATCGCTGGAGTGTCCCAAGCAGAAGGGTGAATTATATTTTTCAATTATTTTTATTTTTAATCATGTGTATGCTTGTGTTTGTGTGGGTGGAGACATCTGAGAGTAGGTACCTACAGAGGCCAGAGGTCAGACCCCTGAAGTGGAAGACAGTTTTAAAGCTGGACATGGCAGTGAATGTCTTTCATTCTAGTCATGACTACACCATGAGACATTGTGCCAACCCCGCCCCCAAAAAGCAGTTGTGAATCACCTGATATGGGTACTGGGAACTGAGCACTGTAGTTCTCCCCAAAAACAGTACCTGCTCATCTTAACCCTGAGCCATCATTCCAGACCCAAACTGTCCCTTCCCTTACCCCCCCCTTTCTGAAAAATATGAGATATCATTATGTAGTCCTAGCTACCTGGAACTTACAATGCAGACAAGGCTAGTCTCAAACTCACAGAGATTAGCTAGTTCTGCCCCTTTCTCCTGAGTGAGGAGCTTAAAGGCTTACACCACCATGCCCAGCATGATTACAGCTTAGCAACCACTCTGGTTGTTAGGGAAGAAAGCACTGGAAGAAGGTGAGTCTGGGGACTCGAACACTTTCCCTGTGGACAGTGATGCCTTGGGAAGAACAACAGCAGTAAAAAGGAGAGCTCAACCATCACCTCATTCAACCAACAGGACCTCAACTCTTACACATGTCAAGTACAAGGTCCTAACCCTGACATGTCATCAGATGCCCCTCAGTCTCTCAGAAAGGGGCACCCCACCTCCAGCTCAGAAGGTCAGAAATACAGGTAACACTGGCTGTCAGAAGAGGATAACTTTTAAGAAGAGAACCAGCTACTTACGGTCCCAGGGGTTGCCAACACGGATCTGCGAGTAGGCGCCTTTCAGTCTTTGTACGACTTCCTCATGGATACTTTCATGCAAAAACTACGTAAAGAATGGGCATTGGGGGAACAGCAAAATGAATACACGTCTCAAGACTTAGTAAATAAGTTCTTCAACAGTACTGATAAGTAGCTACTAAAATACTACAGTCTCTGAAAACCAACCGAAACCATGCTTTTAATTATATATTTTTCTACTTTTAACATTAACTACATGAAAATAAATCATCTTGCTGTTCTTCCAGAAAATCCAAGTCTGGTTCCCAGGACCCACACTGGGTAGTTCACAACCACCTGGAATTCCAGCTCTAAGAAACCTGATGTCCTCCCCACTTTGGCCCCCTGAGGGCACCTGTACACAACACATATACACATTCAGGAAGAAAAAGGACATTCTCAAGCATGCTTGTGGACACACTCACCAGCCGCCTCACAGAGGTACACCTTTGTCCAGCTGTTCCCACGGCGGCAAACAGAGCTGATGGCAGAACCAGGCTGAGGTCTGCATCCTCGAAAGCTTAAAAAAGCACAAGTGTACCATCAGTGCAGTAGGCAGGCAGAGCAGTTTGCTAAACAGTGTAAAACAAGCCTTTAGAAAATACAGTAACATCAAAGTAACCATTGCGTAACAGACACGGTAGAGACACGTATCCAAGGGGAAGGAGCGCTTTCCTTCTAGGGAAGTGTTGATGATGACAGACAGGGCAATGGAGCTACGACCTTTACCCAATACACAGGTAAACTAAGGCTCAGCTAGATCACATTACCTTTCATCTCACTACTGCTCACCTGTCCCAGTCCACGCCCCGCTGCCACAAAGCTTCCTGCTCCTACATGAGACAACCTGTCCCTTGCTACAGCAGAAGATCACAGCCTGTTCCTGCTTCCCTGAAGACATCCAGGGAAAGTCCTGTCACTACCTTCTTCCCCATTCCTCTCCCTCTGCCCTCAGAAGAGTACTCTTTACAAAGTTAACCTTTTCGAGGCTAACTTACTACTTACAATCCCTGTTTCCTCGTGCCTTCTGACAGCTACTGTCCCCTCCTATGCTGTCACTGTTACCCTTCCAACCTAAGCATCCCTGGGTCAGGAAGATGGAAAGAAGATATTTCACACACACAGGCTAGACTTTCTATCCATTTTACAACTCTTTAGTTCCACTATTTGAATTTTCCCTTAGTTCTGGGGACCAAATCCAGGGTCTTGTACGTGTGAGTTTCTGTACTAGCTGTGTCCTTGACATCAACTGTCAGAGAACAAAGCACAGAGCTTCAAGTCCTTCCTTCCATCTATTCAGACAGAAGGCATCATCATCCAATGATACAGATGAGCAAACTACAGCTTTAAAAGTTGCACAGCAGTTGGAGGATTAGCTTGGTAGTGTAAGAGCATGTACCGCTCTTGAAGAGGACCCAAATTTGGTTCCCAGCACCCATATCAGGCAGCACACAACCACCTATAACTCCATCTCCAGGAAAGTTGATAGCTCTTTTGGGTCCTTAGGAATGCATGCACATGCGCACGTACACATAGAAGCAAAAATAAAATCTTTTAAAAAAGCAAGTGTTCCTTCCTAACATGAAAGCCCAAATACTCCACTAAAGGTCAACTTTGTGTGTCTGAAATCTAAAGAAATCAGCAAGTCACTTAGGAAACAATTGATTATTCTGGAAGAGCACACAGCCAGTTTCTAGACAACAAGAGAAGGAAAAGCATGAAGAAGAAATACCACATTAGAGCAGATAACATTTTCCCAACATTATCGTGTTTCTCAGCTCCCTCTTCCTTTAAGGCAGGTTCATGTCCTGACTCCTCAGGAAAATTCCTAAAGATGGGAACTGAGTCCCAAGCACACAGAGCATGGAATGGATGAGTTCCTGTGCCAGCTCCATACACTCAAGATGACTGGACAGCAAACCGAACAGAAAGCAAAGCAAAGCAGCCTTACCTATAATGGCATTGTTTCCTCCAAGCTCTAGCAAGCTTTTCCCTTTAAAAGAAAACAGACACAATTATTTCCCATTTCAGCACTCTCTGCACACCACCTCTCATTGGAGCAATCCCAGTTATCTTTTCATTTACTTTCTGATTAATGGGGCAGCTTAACAGTGATATTAACGACAATTACAGCATTGTACGACAGTTACATACAAGACTGTGTTCTTGGGAAATACCCTGAAAAGGGATATGAATTAAATGCCCACACTGCATGCCTGTGAGCCCATGCGTGTATATATTTCTAGAGAGAGGGAATGACAGAGCGTCATGCACATAGCTGCCACTTCCCTCCGCAGTGACTGTGTTGGCTCATAATTAGTCAGAGAACTGAGAATGCATGACAGCTGAATGGCCACCATGAATGGCATAGGACAACTCTATCATGGTCCCCGAAGTAGTGGGAACAGTGACTTCCAGGCAGGATGTGGCTATGACAATTAACTCAAAGTATCTGTGTGGTTACCCACATAGGATGGGACCTATCAACACCCTGTTATGGAAAAGGAGGAACTCAGAGTCCCAACACTCCCTGGGGTCTTACACATAGTGGTTGATGGAGGAGGGGGAGACATTTTCTTCAGTGGTGGAGCCCATAAACAAACCCTCACCCTGAAGAAGCAACACTGATGACGTTCACTAGGAGCTGACAAGATGGCTCAACAAATAAAGGTGCCTGCAGCCAAGCCTGAGTTCAATCCCCAAGACCTACATGATTGGAGAGAACGGACTCTTGCACACACACACACACACACACACACAAAGACACAAATGAAAACAGAAGGGGCCTAGTTAGGAGGGGAAAGTAGCAGATGTGGGAAGAACCAAAAGATAGCAGAGTGGGTAATACCCAGCAGTGGGAAAAATGAAATCAATGCGTGTCATTCCACTGCAATGACACACCAAACTTTATTTAATTAATCATTCAGTGCTGAATATATTAGCTGCTTGCTATCAGTGTTTTTTATTATCTACTTAGGTCACTGCCCAGAACTCTTGACATGTGACGCCAATTCACTCACATTCCAGAGAAGTTATACAGAGCCCTCTGAATGCCTGGGCCCCCTTTCACTCTCCCCTGAAGAGAGACTTGAGATCTGCCTCAATTTTATAGATTACAGTCATCACTCTACTCTTTTCAATATGTTTCCTCTAAAGTAACTCATTTGAAGTAGCAGGAGCATGGCACAGGAGAGTACACTGTCACCCCCATGGCTCCGAAACAGCAAGCATTCAGTGGGTAGGTACTAAGTATGAATGCTATGGCTACTATCCGCCAGCTGGACAACAGCTCCAGCTTCTGGGGGCAAGAACTGGCCTATGGAAGGTTTACCGCCAACAGCATGGCACTACGCTAGCTGCTAAGAAGAAAACAGGAGAGTCTTTCGCACAGCAATTTCCCCTTCCTGGTTACGAGGGGTATCTGGCAAAAGGGGAAGGCCCACCCCTTCTGCTTACTCCCATTGACTGCCCTCTGACCCCCCTCCCAACTGCCAGTTCCCAACCCCCTTCCAGACAAAAGTGCCTATCGCTTAAGATAGTCAAAGGCACTCAAGAGGATGCAATCCTACTATGCTGCTACTTAAGCAAGAACAAACTACTGCTTTGAGTAAGAGATGGTGAGAAGGTGAAGACTTCCTGAGAACAGAGACACGAATGAAGCTGAGCGTCTCTTCCTGCTTACTGAACACATGAGGTGCTCATTCCTATCTACTGCCCATTTTCAGCTATTCTTTCTCTTTATTTGAGTATGTGAGAGGGTGGGTCAGACAGACAGAGCAAGCACACACAGAGCACAGGTATCACAACGGGCACATGGATGTCAGAGGATCACTTTTGGGAGTTTGCTCTTTCCTACCACCATGTTGTTTGGGGAGGGTTGTTGTTGTTTTTTCTTTTCTGTTTTTGGTTTTTCGAGACAGGGTTTCTCTGTATTGCTTTGGAGCCTGTCCTGGAACTCACTCTGTAGACCAGGCTGGCCTTGAACTCACAGAGATCCTCTGCTGGGATTAAAGGTGTGCACCGCTGCCACCACCACCACTACCTGGCTCCATCTTGTTTTTGAGGCAGTGTCTCCTGTTATTTCTACCACTGGGCTATGTACGTGAGCTTCCAGGTGCTTCTTCTGTCTCTCCCATCTCACCATGGGCGTGCTGGGACTACAGACACAAGCCACCAAGTCCATCTTGTTTCCATGGGTTCCAGGAATTAAACTCAGTTATTAAGGCTACATAGCAAATGCTTTTACCCACTAAGCCTCCTTACCAGCCCCCAATAATTGCATTATTTGTAGTTGGAAATATAACTCAGTGGTAGAGCACTTGTCTCATATGGATAAGTGATAAACCCAGAATTATAGAAAAAAAATTTATGGCATGTGTCTTTATACTGTTAATCTTTAAGAGTTTCTACTTCCACACACACCTTTAATCCTAATATTCAGGAGGCAGAGCAGACACATGTCTATGAGTTCAAGGCCAGCAAGGTCTACATGGCAAGTTCCATGTCAGTGATCCTGTCTTAAAAAAAAAAAACAAAACAAACAAAAAACGCATTTCCTATATTCTAGACACATGTTCCTTAGTGGAGAAACGACTTGCAAATATTCTGTGCCCTTCTTAATTTCTTCCTCTGGTACACGGTGAAGCACTTTAAAAAGTTTTTGATGAAGTCTAATTTGTTACTACTAATATTTGTGCCTTGGGTGTCATTTAAGAAACCACTGCAGAACGCAGGGTCACAAAGGCTTATTTCCTAGGTCTCCAAAAATTTGGTCTTGGCTCTTACATTTAGGTCTTTGATAGATTTTTAGTTAAGTTTGGGGTTTAGGGTAAGACAAGGAAATTTCATATTAATTCATGTGGCTGTCAAGAGACTATTCTTACCCCACTGAAAATGTCTGGCAACCAGGCTGAGAGGGAAAAACACCCATTAGCAATAGACGTGTGGGCTCTCGGTCCTATCCCACTATCTACAACTTCATGCAATAATTCTGTCGTAAGTTGTAAAAGCAGCAAGCAGGAGATCTCCATCATTAATCTTTTTCAAAATTGTTTCAGATATTCAAGGTTCTTTGCATTGTCATAGGAATTTTGGTGTCAATCGTCACTAGCCACAAAACAGACAGCTGATGCTGACAGCAACTTCACCGAGCCCACGGATCATTTGGGAAGAACTGGTATCACAACAAGCCTGAACTATGAAAAATGAAAACCCGATGTCTTCCTGCTCTAATGTCTTTCAATGGGTACTTGGAACAAAAGGCTAGCACTGCTTTAGATTTTATTTGAGTTTTGGTTTTCTAATGTCACCATAAGCAGAACTGTTTTCTAAATTTCACTTTCAAGTCATTGTTACTACACCGAAATATAATTTTTTACAGTTAATCTTGCATCATACAACCTTACTGACCTTATTGTTTATTTTGTTGAGTTTTTTGTTTGGTTTGTTGGGTTTTTGGAGACAAGGTCACAATGTGACTGGAGCTCACTACATAGACCAGGCTGGTTCTGAATTCAGAGGTCCACCTGCCTCTGCCTCTCAAGTGCTGGAATTAAAGGAGTGCATCACCAGGCCCAGCAAAAACTTGTGAATATCAAGCACTGATTCAAATCCTCGTCACAAAGCCGGACTTACCAAACCTCTCCTGCACCATCAGGGCCACCTGTTTCCCCACTTGAGTGCTCCCAGTGAAGGACAACAGGTTCACACGTGTATCCTTGGCCATTGCTGTGCTGCAGGGAACAGAGAGGGTTACCCAAGCAAAAGCACCTAGAAATGACGGCACCCGACAGTACCAACAAGCAGCATGAACGGGCCCTTGGCAAGGCAGTCAAGGTTACAAGGAAGTCTATCCCAAGGGCATGAGGTGGTGAAACAAACTATTCACAAGCAGAAGCTCAGGGAAAGCAAGCTGACCTTCTGTGTGAGCTGTGACAGCCCTTTAGGGAGCCTTCTAGCTCATGAAGAAAGTTCTTCCTGTACTGAGAGGGAACAGAGACCATGTGTTCCGAGAGCTTCCTTAAGGAACATCAGGTGCTTTCGGGCTCCTAATTTGCAATACTTTAAGAAAAGCCAGCCCTGGGGCTGGAGAGCTGGCTCAGCAGTTAAAAGACCAGCTGCTCTTCCAGAGGATCCAGGTTCAATTCAATCCAGAACTCACATGGTGGCTCACAACCGTCTGTAACTCTAGTTCTAGAAGACGCTATACTCTGGTTTCTACAGACACCAGGCACACATGTGGTACACGTGCAGGCAAAACACCCACAACACACATACAACTCAACAAGCCTTTTATTTAGAAGAAAAGAAGCTACGGCACGAGCCTGTGATCCCAGCTACTTGGGAGCCTGAGGCAGGAAGATCTCATACTCAAGGCCTGCCGCCTGTGCTAGGATGAGTTCAAAGCCACCCTGGACCACTCAATAAGGCACTACCTGGAAATAAAAATCCCCATGACAAACACTGCCGATCTCTCCAGGACCCAGGTAGCATGCATTGCCCTTAGGGTTGGGGATGCAGCCTGCTTCATCGCATTCAGGAGGCACCACACAAAACCAGATGCAGTGGTCTATACCTATAATCCCAGCAGTTGAAAGGTGGAGACAAGAAGATAGAAGGCTCATGTCATCTGCAGCTGCCCCGGGGTTTCCAGAAGCAGTCCCTCCCTTAACCGCCTTTCCCCCCCCAGTTAAAACGTCCCCCCCAAAATATACAACTAAAAAACTCAAAGCTGTTCTAGGACTTCCAGTTGGCTCTCAGGAATGTAGCTCAAACACTGCTGACTGAAACTTCTTTGTTCCGTTGTTTGTACTTCTGTTAGTGTGAGCAAGGCACCCTGGACAGCTTGATCTAACCACTCAGGTAAAAACTCCCCAGGTTCAACCTACAATCATGAGTGCCTGTAGGCCAGGTGGCTGCGCTCAGTAACGTCCTACGTATGCTAATGGCCTATGCCAAGGCCAACAGGACAGGATGTCGGGAGCGCAAGAACACAGTCGGCCAAAGAATACAGCACTCGTGTTTCAGTGGCATTTACAGGCATTTCACTGGGCACTATGGGGGTTGGGAGGCAGGGAGGCAGTAGGACAAGTTTCCTATTATTCTCATCTATATGAACAAGGAAATAAGACCCTAACGTCTAGACCAGCATGGTGAGAGACTTGACTCCTAGAGAACCTCCCTGCTCAAAGGCTAAACTAGTTTAAAAAAAAAAAGAGTGACCCCAGCTTTTCTGCTTATTCTGGGCAATTTTAGCCAATTCCAGACCCAGAGGCTGCGACCTTGTGCTAAGTAAAAGAGGAGTCACAAAGGAGAGCATCACACACAAAAGAACTCATATTCTATGACTTCATTTATACAAAATGGCACCAAATTGACAGAGACAAAAAGGATGTCAGTGATTGTCACAAACTTGGGGAAGGCGGTGAGAAGTGGGTGTGGAAAACGTCCTGCAATAAGACAGCAGCGGTTGCACAAACCTGAATGTTTTAGAAGCTACTTGGCAGGAGCTGAGGTGGGAGAGCCCTTGCCTGGGCTGCACACAGAGTACCTGGGCTCCCATCCCAAGACCCAAGCAAAAACCTAAGTTTCACAGGGATGGTTTTATGGTATATGAATCTTGTTGCAGTTAAAACAAAACCCAAGATCCACCCCCCCTTTTTTTTTCTAAATGGGGTCTCAAAGTTGCCATACAGCTGAGGATGCCCTTGAACTCTTGATCTTCCTGCCTCCACCATCAGGGACCTGAGATTATAGGCATGTGTCACCACCCCTGGTACATTCAGTGCTAGGAACTGAACCCAGAGGTTCCTTTCTTTCTTTCTTTCTTTCTTTCTTTCTTTCTTTCTTTCTTTCTTTCTTTTATTTATTTAATGTACACTGGCATTTTGCCTGTATATATTCTGTGTGGGAGTGTCGGATCCCCTGGAATTGGAGTTACAGACAGTTGTGAGCTGCCATGTGGTTGCTGGGAATTGAACTCAGGTCCACTAGAAGAGCAGTCACTGCTCTAAATGGTTGAACCATCTCTCCGGCCCCCAGAATTTCTTGAATACTAACAAACACTCTACCCACTAGGCTACATCTCCTGCCCCCTTTTATGGTCAGCTAAGGAAATGAAACTAGGCTAAGTCTCCAGGCAGAGAGTTCGATGTCACAGCTTTGTTTTATAGGTCCCTAGATAAATCAAGTATCAGGAAATTAATATCTGTCCAAACCATGAACACTGAAAATCAGTAGGTCAATAACTAAAAACAAGTATTTCTCGGGAAGGTTGCTCACTAACAAGAACATAGCAGGTCTATAATTTTAATGGCCATAGAAGGTAGCCTCGCCTCTTTAGCCACCCTGGGTTTTGTTATTATGGTAGAAGATGCCCAGCAATCAACCCAGGGTCCTTCAACAGAACGATGCTCCTCATCCATTCACCTACCCAATATCTGCTCCACCACAAGTCATGGAACAAATGGCACCAGGCAGATCATTGTCCTCTAAAACCTTGGCTACGATCCTAGGAAGAAAAAGGCAGATACTGGTCAGTCAACCATTTCCCTCAGAATAGTTTTATAAACAAGAGAGAAATTCCTCTCACATGGCTTCCCTTTTAGTTTTCCTTCCAACTCTTCAAACACTCACACCTAGGTTTTCCTCACAAATTATAGCTAAGATTTACAAGCACAAGCAGAAGTTTGGGTTTAAAGTAGAACTTGCTGTGTAGACCAGGCTGACCTGGCAGTCACAGAGATCCGCCTGCCTCTGCCTTCTGAGTGTTGGCATTAAAGGTGTATGTCACCACATTCAGCCTTAATTACATTTTTCTTTCTTTTTTTTTTTTTTTTTTTTTTTTTGGTTTTTCGAGACAGGGGTTCTCTGTATTGTTTTGGAGGCTGTCCTGGAACTCTCTTTGTAGACTGGGCTGGCCTCGAACTCACAGAGATCCGCCTGCCTCTGACTCCCGAGTGCTGGGATTAAAGGCATGTGCCACCAACGCCAGGCTCTTAATTACATTTTCATCTATCTATTTTGTATGAATGTCTATGTCTGAAGTGTGTGTGCACATGTGTGCCATGGGGCTCTGTTTTATGGGGATCCAAGGACAGAGCCATCTTGATAGCTGAGAGAGAGAGAGAGAGAGAGAGAGAGAGAGAGAGAGAGAGAGAGAGAGAGAGAGAGAGAGAGAGAGAGTGTGTGTGTGTGTGTGTGTGTGTGTGTGTGTGTGTGATATGTACGTGTGAGAATAGGTATACCCATGCCATGGTTATATGTGGAGATCAGAAGACACTCTTGTACAAGCTCTCTATCAAAACTTTTTTTAAAAGATTTATTTATGGGGCTGGAGAGATGGCTCAGCGGTTAAGAGCACTGACTGTTCTTCCAGAGGTCCTGAGTTCAATTCCCCAGCAACCACATGGTGGCTCACAACCACCTTAAGTAAGATCTGGTGCCCCCTGCTGGCATGCAGGCAGAAGACAGTATACATAATAAATAAATAAAATAAAATAAGAAGATTTATTTATTATGTATAGTGTTCTGCCTGCGTGTATACCTGAAGGCCAGAAGGGGCACCAGATCCCATATGGATGGTTGTGAGCCACCAAGTGGTTGCTGAGAATTGAACTCAGGACCTCTGGGAGAACAGCCAGTGCTCTTAACTGCTGAGCCATCTCTCCAGCCCCAAAACTTCTTAAGTTAGAAAGAAGATCATGCAACCACTGGAAATAAGCATCAAGATTAAATAGGTCAGAAGAAGTCAATGAATCTAAATTCCAGATTCATAAATTGATAGTATTGATTTTATGACCTCAGAGCTATAAAGGTCTCAAATATAAATAAATAAGGTACTTACAATTTTAACAAAAATGTAATTCCTTTTAAATAATGTTAAAGAGTGTACTAATTAGCTGGGCGTTGGTGGCGCACGCCTTTAATCCCAGCACTTGGGAGGCAGAGGCAGGCGGATCTCTGTGAGTTCGAGGCCAGCCTGGTCTACAAAGTGAGTTCCAGGACAGCCTCCAAAGCCACAGAGAAACCTTGTCTCGAAAAACCAAAAAAAAAAAAAAAAAAAAAAAAAAAAGAGTGCACTAATTGGTTCTCTCTGTTTTGTTATTGGTCTATTCACTTGACTGAAAATATATCTCAATGGTAGAACGCTTGCCTAACATACGTAAGATCCTAAATTCAATCCCCAGCCCAGGGGCAGAGGGCTTCTCAGCCACAAACCTGTTGGACAGTTATCCAATAAATACAGTCCCTAAAGTGCCAGGGTATTTATTCTCTGCTGCAGAGGTTTTTGTTCTTCAAGTGATAAAATGTCTAGAAGAGTTCAACATGTGTGTCAGTATCCGGCATTCTTCCAAAGAGGTAAATTAAAGGTCATGGCTCAGAAACAGCCACAAAAACTGCAGTGATATAAAAATGTTACTACAACCAAAGAAGAAAGTTATCTGATGTCTATGCTGAAACAAACAGGACACTTCCCACCATTAAAAACCAGGTGCATGTCTTTAATCCCAGCACTCAGGAAGCAGAGGCAGGCGGATCTCTGTGAGATCGAGGCCAGCCTGGTCTACAGAGTGAGTTCCAGGACAGGCTCCAAAACAATACAGAGAAACCCTGTCTCAAAAACCAAACAAAAAACAAAAACAAAAACAAAACCAGCACCAAGCCAGGCAGAGGTAGCGCAAACCTTTAATCCCAGTACTTGGGAGGCAGAGGCAGGTGGATCTCTGTGAGTTTGAGACCAGGATGGACTACATACACGTGAGTTCTAGGACAGTCAGGCTGCACACAGAGAAATCATGTCTCAAAAAATAATAATAATAAACAAAGATGAACAAACAAAAAACCAGCACCTGTCAATCACCTATGCAAAATTACATCATACCCAGGAAAAAGAAAGCCACACATACTTACTTTGTGACAGCTATAGTAACAAGAGAAGTTGTTGGGGCTCCTTTCCTAGAGACATTTTTAAAATAAGAGAGAGAAAGAAAATTAACTTGAGAGGCAATTACCTTTCATTACAAAGAAAAACAAAAAGTTATGGAGAAAAGGTTCTGTCCAATTAGACAACAAATAACTCTAGTAATTGAAATGGAAACCTATCCTTCAGGTGGCGTCTCTGGGCATAATGGATAAGGAAACTTCATGAGCATAACTCTGCAAACGAGTAATGCTGAGCCCACCCGCTGCAGGACCATCGGAACTGTTATAGTATCTGCCAGCCAGCTACATACCAGCATGCTGATCTCAACACTGTATGAGTCTTACTTAGGACTGTCAATTTGACTGCTCTAAGCATTGCCTAGGCCAGTGCTGAAACACACAGCATGGAAACCAGTTGTGCTTATAAAGGTGCTTCCAGAGGCCATCAACTGAAGGGGGGAGACTCACCCCAAACACGGGGAGCACCAACCGACCCATCACTGGACCTCAGAACAGAATGAAAGGGGAAAGGGAGAAATGAACACTAGCATTCTCCTTTCTCTGCTGAACAGATATGAGCAAACTGGTCCCACACCATGCCGCCTCCGCATGATGGACTCTATCCTGCCTCCCACCTGTGACCCAAAATAAACTTCCCCTCCTATCAAGCAGTTGGTCACAGCCATGGGAAATCTCAAACAGAAAACATAGGTTCCTTCAGAAAGATGGTAACAAATTATTAAGCCTTCAAACTGCATTTTGTTTTATGAGAGATTCAGAATATTCTATTGAAGGCATTAGTTAACACTAATAAGTTTGGCGTGGCATACTGCTGCACACCTGTAAACCCTGCATTGGTGGGGGTGGGGTTTGGATCTGAGGCAATAAGATTGTCTGGGATATATAGTGAGATCTTATCTCAAAAAAATTAAATTTTAAAAGTCCTGGACAAGGTAGCCCTTTGAGCACTGCATAAGAATAGCATATTTATTCATGACCGTCTTATTCTGAGACAGGAAATGAGCATGGCTTACCAGACGCAGACATTCCCTGTGATCAGCGCTATGGCATTGTTCCAGCCAAACACGGCCACCGGGAAATTGAAGGCAGTGATGATTCCCACCAGGCCTAATGGGTTCCACTGCTCAATGAGAGCATGGCCAGGTCCTACGGTGTGTAAACATTCACTTAGTGGACATTAATGTATTAAGAATAAAATCCTATATCATTCCTCTTCAGGTCAGGTACATGTACTATACCAGAGACGATTCCTGATACCTCCTTGGGTCTCTTCACATAGCCAAAAGATATGAACATATCACTTAATATAAGACAGAATTGCTTCTTACTACACTGCTTTACCAACTGTAATGGTGTTCATTACACCTCACACCTCAGGAGCTGCAGAGGTAAGGGCATTATGGGACCCATGTGGAAGATAGGGCCATGTCAGTGAGCTAGTAGCAGGTTCCCCCAAGAGATGTGAACTCAAAGGGTAAAATATAAACAGAGCATAGAACATGTGATTCTCGGGTCTATGTTCTCTTATGTTGTCTCTTGACCTCTCCAACTTCAAGACGAGGAAGCTTGTGTTGCAGGCTCATGCTGAATGGATTACAGAAACTTTCTATTCACTGTAAGGAAATTAAAAGTATGAATAGAGGTGTTTATATTTTGGCAGAATATGTGGTTCATTTGGTAGACTGCTTGCCTAGCATGTATAAAGCCCTGGGTTGGATCCCCAGCACAGCACAAACTGGGTGTGGTGGCTCACGCCTGCAATCCCAGCATTCAGGAGGGGGAGGCAGAAAGACCAGCTCAAGGTTTTACTCCACTACACAGAAAGTTCCAGCCCAGCATGAAATACATGAGACACTGTATAAAAAAAGAAACAAATAAAAAACCTAAACTCACATTTTAATTACAAGCTTTAAAGCTAATTCCACCAAGGCTTATTTAATCAATAGCTGGTTGAGCCAAGAAACTCTGACAGACCTGGTTAAGATGATACACTACCACACAGGAGGAAAGTGGCACTTCCTGTCATCATTTACACCGGAAGTAGGGCTGGGAACCTCCTGGCATAGCACCACATACTGAGGCCATCCTGCAGGCCAGCACCCTAGCTCCGGCTTGGCAAGGCTAGCCTACTCTTCCTTCTCGCCCCTGCTGCCATCAGTCCCTTGCTTAGTTAGAGGTGTCTACTGTCTGTATAGATGCTGTAGCCATTCAAGATAAAGTCCTCACAACAGGGGTCATTACACTGCATCCTCCAGCTGTGCCGAAGCAAGGCAGTCCCCACATGGACCTGTTCCTCCATCCTCGACGTCACACAATCCTCTTCCCCACCCGAAGGATTCTACCCCCATCTCCATCTCCTTTGAGGCCTTAGGGTATCTTCCTGAAGAGGCCTATTCGTCAGCATGCCCAGGCTGGGTCAGAAGTCCCCTACATGCCTAAGGTCCTATCCTCCACTCTCTCTGTTACAGATGCCAATTCCCTGGCATCGCCCTCCGCTCTAAAACATACGTGGCGTGTGAGTCTGAGTGTGCACACATGCGGAAGCCAGAGGACAACAAAACTCAGTTCTCTCCTTCCACTCCGTGGGCCTTGGGAATGGAACTGACATTGCCGTGTCCTGCCAAGCCATCTCTCCAGGGCGCGCAACAGTTAACTGATGCCAGGCTTACTTTCAGAAGGCAAGACAGGTCCCCCGATCATCCTTGACAAGCCAGCAGCATAGTCACAGATGTCCACGAACTCCTGAACTTCTCCTATTCCTTCCACTAAGATCTTCCCCATCTCCAAAGACACCTAGAAATATAAAAACCAAAGCATTGTTTCTCCAGTAGAATCCCTATTTAACATTAAGCTGAAGACAAAAAAAAAACGTTATTTTATGTAGGTAAGAAACTAAGAAAATCTGTTCTTTTCTGATGACTTTTTTTCTTTATCTTTCTTTTTACTTCTTTATTTACTTGCTTTTTGTCTTATTTTTTAAATATAATTTTGTTTATTAATTCTTTGAGAATTCCATTTATGCACATTGGATTTTGTTTTAAGGATTTTTAAACCACAATTTTTTTCACTTTTCTCTAAAAAAAATGAATTTCAAAATTTGTTTTTCTTAAAAAAATCACAATCTTAGGACACATGTATAAGGTTGATCCTTGTAAATCTGATTCAACCTCGAGGAGAAAGGAAGCACACAGACTCCAGCAGTGAAGAGTCTGAGGCAGAGGGATCACTTGAGCCAAGGCTAGACAGCACAGCAAAAACCTCAGTGTCAAACAAAACACAACGTACATAGGAAAACTCATGACAGCCTACTCTCTACTCAAGAGATCACGAACAGACTTCAAAGATACTTTACCAGTTTTCCCAGTACTCGGATCTTCTCCCGCAAGGCAAGGCCAATCTTTCTTACTATTTCTCCTCGCTTTGGGGCAGGAATCTAAGAAAAGAGTAGAATATCGGTGTCAAAATATATGTCCATGTCTACCACACTGTCAGATGTGCACTGCAGAAGAAGAACCTGCAACATCAGAAGAGGCTTTGGGGTCACATCAGTACTGTGACAGGGCTAAACATCCCTGGAGCTAATCTCTTCTGGGAGGCATAGACGAAAAGGTAACAAACTATTACCAATTGCTGATGGTCTAAAGACAAACACTGAAAGAGAGAAAACAGCAAGGTGAGACACGGGGAAACCTAAGCTCAGACCTGTGCTGAATCCTGAAGGATGGAAAGAGTTGGCCGTGAAATACAGAATGAATCATGGAGAATAAAGGGCGGGTTGGGAAGGTTAGAGGCATTAAAGAGAAGGAATCTCAACTGGGCATGGGGGTGCAAGCCTTTGATCCCAGTACTGGAGAGGCAGGCAGTACTATTCTCTATCCAGCAAACAGGGTTCCCTTCCCCCCGACTCTCTCTCTCTCTCTCTTTGGAGGTGGGGCATTGGGGGCTGATCCCTATGAGTTCAAGGCCAGCCTGGTGTACAGAGCCAGTTCCAGGCCTGCCAAAGGAACTGAGACTCTGTGCCCCTGATGCCCCACCCCCAGGCAGAGAGAGAGAGAGAGAGAGAGAGAGAGAGAGAGAGAGAGAGAGAGAGAGAGAGAGAGAGAGAGAGAGAGAGAGAGAGAGAGAGAGAGAATCTTACCCTCGGGCAATGTGGAACCTATTTGTTCTTACCGCACAGGATAAAGGGCTTTACTGTATCTTTAAGCACCACTCTTTGCTGGACAGAAAAGAAACTGAAGGGGGAAGAGCAGATCCAGGGATAGCAACTGAGAACAGAGTAGCCTGGAAAAACAGTTCGGAGTGGGGTGGTCGCCTAGCGTTCGCAAAGCCCTTGGCTCCACCCTCAGCACTACAGAAACTAGACTGATAGCATACAAGTGTAACCCCAGCACTTGGGAAACAGAAGCAGGAAGATCATAAGTTCAAGGTTACCCTTTGCTACATAGTCAATTCCAGACCAGCCTGGGCTACATGAGGCACTGCTTTGAAAAAAAAAAAAAAAAACAGGCCAAGCAGTGTGGTAGCACATGCCTTTAATCCCAGCACTCCAGAAGCAGAGGCAGGTTCTGTGAGTTCGAGGCCAGCCTGGTCTACAGAGTGAGTTACAGGACAGCCAGGGCTACACAGTGAAGCCCTGTATTAAAAAAGCAAAATATACATATATATGTATATTCCTAAATATATATATGTATATACGTACATTTCTAACATATATTTTAGAAAAGTTAATTACATAGACAACTGAGGAAAAAGGCAGGATTTGGGGATAAAGTGTAGGCTAAACAATGTTAACACTGATCTGTGACTCACAAACAGTGACACAACTTCCCCAATAGTGGCCACAAACCCCCTTTAGCTATTCCTCTATATCCCCTTTAGAAGGCAGCTAAAATAAAATCACACACCCGTATTCTCAGTATTCAGTAACTGGAGACAGGGGGACCAGGAATTCAAGGCCACCCTCTGCTATGGAATAAGTTCCATATTAAGCCCTAGGCCAACCTGGGCTACTACAAGAGATCCTGTCTCAGAAGAAAAAAATAAAAAGAGCACCTCCTACAGATGGTAGGCTGGCTCCCCACACCCACCCCTCCTCATTACATGCCCACACTCCATCTTTCAGAGCCCCACCCACACCAAGCTTCGAGGGTCCACTTTGCTGTCCTCTTCCCCGAGGCATCCCCACATCTTAGAACGGCTTATGTGGAGGGCGGCGTGGCAATGCATCATGCTGGAAACACTCTTCCTCTTGAAGTAGACAGCTCCACCTCTCGACACTGAACTTATGTGTGTGTTGAAACAAACAGTTAAAACAACAGTCGTCATACACTTTTCCTAACAGAGATACCCATCAGAATGTGACGTGTTAATTATGCAACAGCCCTAAAAGGAACAGTCTCTAAAATGAATGGGTACATAAGAAAAGCAGAGAAGAGCTTCAACAGTATAGCAGAAAGGTAGAAGACAGTATGCCTATCCTAAGTATGCTTTGCTTCAACATGGAGGCTACACCAAGATGTCCACAGCGGCAGTCTCTTAGAATTACAGCTGATGCTCACTCACATCTTTCAGAATTTATTTTACATGTATGGGTGTTTAGACTACATGTATGTCTGTGTACCTGGTGCGCTCAGAACCCAGAAGAGGGTGTCTGATCTTTACAGATGGCTGTGAGCCACTGTGTAGAACAGCCAGTACTCTTAACCACTGAGCCATCCCTCCACCCTCGTTCACCACATTTTATATAACCACAAGGTTTACCTTTCTGAAAATTTATTTATATATGTGTGTGTGTGTGTGTGTGTGTGCGCACGCGTGCGTACACCCATACATGTGGGTATCTCTGGAAGCCAGAAGATGACATCAGATCCCTTGTAGCCAGAGTTACAGCCCTCGTGAGCTGCCTAACATGGGTTCTGGGAGCCAAAATCTAGTCTGCTGAAGGAGCAGCAAGCACCCAGCCACGGAGCCACCTCTCCAGCCCCTAAAGCATGTGTTGTTTCGATGGGAGAGCGGTGCCGAGGACAGCTTGAACCTTGCAGCAGTAGGTTCTCTCCTGCCACCATGTGGGTCTCGGGGATAGAGCTTGCCTTTACCCGCTGGGCCATCCGGCCAGGCCAGGTTTGTCATCCTTATGCTACATGCCCTCCTTGTGACATTAACACAGATCCCATGCTTGGCATTGTGGCACAGGTGTCATCATGTTGCTACTGAATTTAGCTGACATGGTTACAAGTGAAGCCAAGCTGATGAACACCGGCTGAGAACAAGTATAATGGCTTCTACCTCCCTGTGTGCAGGAGCCCACAGAGGTCAACACGGGGCATCAGATCTCCTGGAAACAGCTGAGAGCCGCCGTGCGGGTGCTGGGAACCGAACCCAGGTCTTCTGCAAGAGCAGGTAAGTGCTCTTAACCACTGAGTGGCTCTCCAGTCCCATGTGGCACACATGTAATTTACTCCAGTCAGTCTTTTGATTCCTATAAAACTGCCTGGGAACATCACTGTCAACGGTGGCTATAGTTCTTGCCCAGCAGAGAGGAAAACTCAGTGAGGTGACTGCAGTGGTTATCAGAACAGATAACCAGTGAAGAGGAGCAAGGCTGTGCAGCGGAAGCAGCCAGGACGGGCCAGTGCTAGTGTTGCTAAGGGAGGGGGAAGAAGGTCTTTGAAAGTGTAGAGCAAGGCATACGCAAAGGCCAAAAGGCAGAGAAAATATAGTCGTTCTGAAAAGCAAAACAGCTTAAACAAGCAAGAGAAGAAAAGGAGGAGTCACGTGGCCAAGGGCCAAAGATCCTGCAAGCAACAAGGATCACAAGGAGGTTTTTAAACAGGGAGGGAAAACAAAAAAATCAAAATACACTTTAGTATATCGCTCTAGCTCCAGTTGTAGAAAGTGACTGGAGAGAGACAGGATTTGGGAAGACCATGGGACCAGACAAGAGTTAGTATAAAGTGTACTACAATACTATATATATAACACAGCATATAACTCTGTGGTTGGCAGTATATCTCTAAGACAGATGCTAATGTCATATGCCAGTGGTTTGCAGGTCTGGCTGTAGGGATAGATGAAGTCCTAAGGAAAGAACCCTTCCCTATGGCGTCATTAGTGACTTTGTCAGAGGAAGTGACCTGAAGTAGAATGTCTGCGTGCTGTCTTGGGATTCTGTTATATGTGGCCCTCAGCTCTGGATTGCCCAGCCCCTCCCCCACACACACACATACTATAGAACACTTAATGTCTGTAGAAATTACTTGTCTATTGTATTTATAGTAAACAAAACCAGACTAGGACATAGCCATGTATTTTAAAATGTTCAAGACTTGACAGTTAGCAATTGATTGATCACAGATTCTTGATTAGACATGGCGTTTTCACAAGACACTATGCCAGATCACACTAATAAACAACATCACTTAATGTGACATCTTCAGTTTCGCTTATTATCCTTATGAACAACATGGATTGAGAACACCGGGATTAAGGTTTGAAGAGAACAGAAAGAAAGGAATAAGAAGCAAGAAGATGGCCTCATTTCTAGTATGGACTTGACCTGTCCTAGAAGAGGCTATCAATTAAGTACAGTAGCTGGAATCACAGCTAAGATAATAGAATGCTTGTCTAGAACAAGTAAGACCAGGGGTTCGATATCCAGTACTACATAAAGCCAGACATGATGGCAAAACACTCAAGAGATGGACGCAGACGGAGCAGAAGTTCAAGGCAATTATCCTTGTTACATAGTGAGAGGCCAGTTTGGCATACATGAAACTTTGCCCGGCTCAGTGGGTACACATGCACCACACACAAGATAAATTTTCACATGTAATTTTGAAAGCTGAGGGACTAAAGAGATGGCTCAGCAGTTAAGTGATTCTCTTACAGAGAAAGGATCAGGGTTCTACCCTATCATCCACATGGTACCTGGAAACTATCACTCTTCCAAGAGTCCCGGGCATGCACACAGTACACGCATACACATAAAATGAAATAAATAAATCTCTTTTTTAATTGGGAAAAGAAAAACCTCCAGGACCCTGTCCCGTGGTTTACATCAGAAGTCCTCACCCCTGTAAACTCCACCCAGGAAGTCTCATCTAGAATAGACATAAGACAGCAGGTGGCAGGAACTATACAAGCTGAGGGCACAGTGGTGCACATCTTTAGTTCCAGCCACTGGGAGGCTCAAACAGGAGAATCCCTTGAGTCTAGGATTTCAAGTCCAGCCTGCATAACATGGTGAGTCCCATTCATATAGAAACAACCAAACGGGAACATTGGTACATAATGTAGGCACACTCACAGCTACCTGGTATCTATTTCTTTTTACTTAGGAGAAATGATCCATTTCTGTCCTCAAGGGACAGAAGAGTCTTGCTCTTTCTCACCAGCAACAGAGGGGAAACTGAGGACACACAAGGGACTTGGAGGAGCAAGACAAGGAGAGCCCTAAGTAAAAACTCATACATTGAGGGGAAGCAATGAGTTTCAGTCTTAGAGCTAGGTTCTCTGTAGCAACTGTAATTAAGAGAAAGAAACCTGTGGGGTGGTGACACACGCCTTTATCCCCAGCACTCAGGAGACAGAAGTAGGTGGATCTCTGAGTCTGAGGCCAGCTCTGGTCTGCAGAGCAAGTTCCAGGACAACTCCATAGCTCCATAGAGAAAGTCTGTCTTGAAAAGCCAAAAGAGCAGAGCAAGTTCCAGGACAGGCTCCAAAACGACACAGAGAAAACCTGTCTTGAAAAACCAAAAGGAGAGAGAGAGACAGAGACAGAGACCTGTTTTCAAGGAAGGCATGGAGGTGCACTCCTATTAACACCAGCACTCGGGAAAGCAGAGGCATCAGGAATTCAAAGCCAGCCTTGGCTCCCTAAACTACATGAAACCCTCTCTCTCAAAATAAATGGATGGATGGATGGATGGATGGATGGATGAAGCAGCTTTTATAAATTACTTTTCCTTTGTACTTATACTTCCCTTAAGGAATAATGTTCCCTTTGAAACTTCTAGGCTTAACTGGAATGAAATGAAGCAATGTTCTGTTGGAATGTAAGCAAAGCCAACAGAAGGAGAGAAGGCAGAAGAGGAGCTCCACAGCAAGGGAGACTGTAGTCCAGGATAGCTCGAGGATCCTGGAGGGAGACTGTAGTCCAGGATTGCTTGCTCTGGCTTTTTGTCTAAGGCCCAGCCACTCCATCTCTAAGTCACTGCCACATTAACCAGGGCCCAAGAGGACTGTTAGAAAAAGCTTGTCTCTACACTAAACTTTGAACTCAGTTGCTTAACTCAGATTCCAACAAATAGATCCCCCACTGGTTCAGTTTACTCTCATCCAAGAGTGGCTCATCTGACTTATCTAGCAACTCCATCTCAACTCACAAATGAACAAGCTGCTGAAGGAATGCTGAGGGCAATGTGGCAACGTGGGACAAGACTCTGAAGTAACAGATGAGATCCCAAATTCAAAGATAGCAACAAAAACAACACAGCACAACATTCCAGAAAGATTATCATGACAGCAACCACTGCAGCAAGGGAGACAGACTTAACAGGAGATGAGACGGCTCAACAGGTAATGGTGCTTGCTGCTCAAGCCTGGAGACCTGAGTTCAATCCCCAGAACCCACACAAGAGGGAGGGAGGGAACCAACTCCACAAAGTTGACCCCTGACTTCCATATGTACATTATGGCACATACATCACCACCACCACAAGTTCAGGAAAACAGCCGCTGAAACCAAACTGTTCTTAAACATGTTTGTATTTATTCTAGATAAACATACATGAGCACAAGTGTTTCTCATTAAAAGTCATGTGAATGACTCCAGCATTTGGGAGACTGAGGCAAAAAGATATTTCTTGGGCCACATATAATGTGTCTCAAAACAAAAGGAAAAAGGTAGGTCAGGGCTAGATGGCTCAGCAATTAAGAGCACTTGCTGCTCTTGCAGAGGACCTAGATTCAGTTCCCAGCACCTATGTGACAGCTCACAGCCATCAGTGCCCTCTTCTGACCTCTGAAGACACTAGACATGCACATGATACACAGACATACACTCAAGTAAAACCCTCATATGCATAAAATCTTTTTTAAATGTTTGGCCTCTAATCCCAGCATTCAGGAGACAGAGGCAGGAGAATCTATGTGAGCCTGAGGTCAGTCTACATAACAAGCTCTAGGGCAGCCAGGACAAATAGAGACCCTGTCTCAACAAACAAAGTTTAATGGAGAGATGGCTCAGAGGTTAACAGCACTTGCTCCAGGATCTTAAGGAGCATAACATGCCAGGAATCCCAGAAAATTCCAGTAACCTCAAGGCACTGAAGTGGGCAGAGACAGGAGGACTACTGGGATTTTCTTGCCGGCTTCCAACCTAGTGAAAACCCTGCTTCAGAGGAAGGAACACAGAGGTAGATGAGGAAACAATGGCCTCTCCTGGCCTCTCTACATGCATGCACAGGCACATAAGTGCAACACATACATGACTAAACAAACACCTTTGAAAAAGTAACTGGATGACTGAGATGGCTCAGTGAGTGAAGGATGCCCCGGGCAATGTCAGTTTGACGTCCCACGTGAAGTCAGAGAAGACACTCCACAAAGCTGTCCTCTGACCATCACACACACTCCGTGTGCACACAGACGTACAATAATAGACTCCAGGTTTCTTAAAGTATGTATTAACTTTGTCGGCATAATAATGTGATCCTGAAATTGTGCACACATCATGTAACATGATGGAAAGATCATGGCTCTGGAGTAAACTCCTGGAAGCTGGGAGAGAAACACCCAGAGGCAGCTCTGACAATCATCTGTACTGAAGAGGCTGAGGTTAAGAAGACTAAATTTGGTATGCATCATCCTTAAAACAAGAAGAAAAACCAAAAAGCCAGGGAGCTTTGAGATGGCTAAGTGGGTTAGGCCACTTGCCACCAAGCCTGATGACCTAAGTTCAGTTTCCAGCGCATGGCATTATGGTGTACTGGTGCTTGCCATGTGCCAGCTCTGCCATAAACACTTGTAAACAATGCATGACTAAATGATTTAATCCTCATGACAACTCCAGAAGACAAGTATCTGGGTCTCCCCTCTTTATGAATACACTCTGATGGAGGCAGAGGGATGCTGGAAAAATCCTTGACTGCCTACCTACAGCGGCAGATAAGTGAGGCCCAGCCCAGCAGCCCTCAGAATTCTTATTTTGGCTTTGCTTGTTTGTTTTGTTTTGTTTTGTTTTTCCAGACAGTGTTTCTTCGTGTAAAAGTCCTGGCCATCCTGGAACTTATTTTATAGACTTGGCTGGCCTCGAACTCACAGAGATCCGCTTGCCTCTGCCTCCGAAGTGCTATGTGATCCACCACAGAGCAGCCACACTTTGGCTCTTTCAACTGATGATTAATGGTGTTCAGAGATGAAGGAGGCAGAGGCCAACAGGAACGCCTTAGCCCTGAGGAAATGGTGTAGCTGCTCTGTAGCCAGACCTGCTGTGAAGACATCTCATCCCTGGTCAGTCTGACAGGAAAGGCAAGAAGAACAGAGAACAAAGAGTGCCCCTTCTTTTGTTCAATTACAGGTTTGAGAGGAGAATATTCTTGGCTCTGGTTTACACGAGATCAACAGTTTTCATCTATTGTGAAGTTACCCATTCTTGTCATCCCAAATGGGGAGGACACTATTTTAGGATGGAGGGAATTAACACAGTCCTCAAGATCACACATTTCAGCACTGTCACGTGCTTATCTGTCTTCACAATTATGGCAAGTGACCTGTTCTGCAGTGGGGACTATACTTACCTCTGCCCACATTTTCCAAGCTTCCTTGGCTTCCTTTATAGTCTCTTCGTAGTCTTCCATACTGGCCTAAGTTAAGAATTGGGGTGAGAGAAAAGGAATGAAAAAGTATAAGTGAGATTTCCTAGAAAGAGGCTGTGTCTGCAGATACTGATTAATACTGTGGAAGGCCTTTTTAATCCCAGCACTCGGGAGGCAGGGCAGGCGGATCTCTGAGTTCGAGGCCAGCCTGGTCTACAGAGTAAGTGCCAGGACAATCAGGGCTACACAGTGAAACCCTGTCTCAAAAAGAAAACACAAAACTTGCAGATAGTTTCAGCATCTTTAATTCTTTGCTCACCTGAGTATCTCTGGAACATCCTGTGGCTAAACAATGAAAATCTTTTGCAATCTATCAGGTTAGCAGAATACTAGTCCCAAAAGCTAAAGAATGTCATCAGATAACAGGCAGAGTCCCCCATCTTGCTGAAACAACCAGTCTAAGGTAGCACTGATGTGTATGACTTTCATTTTCCTGCAACTATATATAAAACTCCAAGAACAGCTTCCCCGAGGGAACAACCTGGAGTACCCTAACTGTGCTTCCCAGGGCATGGTGGTCACTCAAATTTGGCTCCAGGAAAAAAATCTATCTCCCATTCCCTCTTAGGTGAGAGCTGTGGTTTGTGCTTTGACCACAGGATACTTGCCTTATGGAATATACATACATCTCTGCAAAAGAAATGGGAAATCTCTGTGTCCCTAAGACTCACAGATGATAGCAACTTCACAGTCTACAATCCTATCAAAGACTGTTTATAAGGCTGGAGTTGCAGCTGGGGGGCAAAGCTCTTGACCGGCATGGTTGAAGCCCTGGGTTCAATTCCCACATGGTGTGGGGGAGGGGTATAGAAATATTGGAGCACAAACAGAAAAACCAGCTAGAGTCTAACAGAAGAACAGATAACCCAGCTGTGCTTTAAAGCCTTGCTCTTCAAATGTTTCAAATCAAGGTCTACCCTCATCTGGATACGACACATGATCCATATTAGAAAGCTCAGTCTTGGGCTCCAACCCAGATAAGAATCAGAACTTTCAGTCAAAAAAAATAAAATAAAATAAAAACTCCGGAATAACTCAGAAACAATACCCCAGAGGGAAACTAGGAATGTAGTTCAACTTGCCTAGCATGCATGAAGCTCTGGGTTCAAGTCCCAGCAAAAATCTAGCATGGCACTGCATGCCTATGGGTAAGTCCAAAGTCAGCTAGACAGCAAGCTCTAGGCTAGCCTAGGCTACACACTTTGTATCCAAACAATAAAAGACCGTCTGCCTACTCCTGTCGCTTAGTCACCTTCTCTAGCTGATCCCCAATCTCACAATGACAAGGAAGTGCATGATTCTTTACATCTGCTAGCACAGGTCCCTGTAACAGCTTGACTTTTAGCAACTTACCTGTCGGATCCTTGCGATTGGCTCATTGTTAGCAGGACAATAGGACGTAATTACCTTGAAACAAACAAAAAGATGACAATCATGCACAGACATTATAACTATTCCCATTGAGGAGATGCCAAATAGAAAAATAAAAGCAAAACAGGAGCCTTCCTGTTACAAGAACACACTCCTCGGAGTGGGTTTCTCACCTATGCATTCAGAACTTTCTGTAAGATCCATTCACACCCTCTGGCCTGGAAACACAGTGCCCAAGTCCAGACAAGCTACAAAAAAGCCTGTGTTGATGAAATTGAAAAGGTCTCCAAATAAAGACAAAACTAAAGTGTAGCTAAAAGGCTAGGTTTTATCAGACATTAATGGCTAACGCTACAAAAAAAGTAGGTTGAGGGAAAAAAATTTAAAAAGAGACAACAGGGCGAAACTCACAATTTCGTAACAATTAAAATTACCTAGCTCTTCTACGTTAAAGAATTTGCATTTTCTGTACCAAAGCAGATTCTGGCACAGCTGAAAGTCAGGTTTCTGAAAAAACTTCCTTTCTTTCCCTTGAAAATATGCGTCACTCTCCCAAGTTTTGGGCAACTATAACTTTACCTGTCCACTGCATTCTAGAAAACGTTTTATTATGGTGACAAGTCTAGGCAATAAATTCTGAAAACCAAATCTTCAAGGGGAAAAAGTTTACAAGATTTTAGCCAGGGCGAGCCATACGGCTTTAAACCCTGGGGTTTAACCTTCCCGGCGACTCCAAACCTCCATCGATTGCTCACAGCACTAAAATCTAAAGTTCACTTGTTTTTGGTCTTTCTTAGTGAGAAAACTTCTACTGTACAAATTTAAAACTTCCCAGCCGGTCTATCCTCCCACAGTTCCAGTAGGGAGGTGGGAATGGGGGCGCCCATCTCGCGGCCTCCCAAGCAAACCTTGGCTGCAACTTTCCGGGGCGCTCGCATACCTGTCCCCCGCCGCGCCAGTTTCCATTATACACGCCCGCGTTCTCCTCGCGGAGCCCCAGCTCTTGCAGCCAAGCATAGTCAGGATGATGGATCAGCATAGTGGACATGAGGGCGGTAGGCCTGCACGGTGGGCGGGAATGCCTGATGCTCTTCGCAGTACGCTCGCACAAAGTGCGAGCCAGACGCCACATACCGAGCTTAGAACGCCAGAAGCCCCTGCCGCAGGGGAGTCCGGGAAATGCAGTCCCGCCCCCAGCCCTGGAGAGTCTGCAAGGCAGGCCCCGCCCCCTGCCCCGCCCATTGAAGGCCGTGCCCCAACCCCCTTCCGCGAACGCTCATGGGGCAGACCCCTCCCCGGAAACCTATTGGACAGCCTCACTCCACCACCCCCCGCTGACACGCTCCCCCAACCACTCCCTCGGGGTCTTCCTGACCTTACACTCCGGACAGTAAGGTTGCACAGGGTCTGGGGGCGGGGACGGCGCCGGGGCGGGGCGGAGGGGGCGGGGCGGAGGGGGCGGGGAAACGCGCCACCCATTGGTTCTGAAGTCCAGTGGGTTAGAGTAGAGATTTCAAACAATATGCTCCTAGGCCCTAGTGTTCAGGGTATTCTGGGCGTGCTCATTCCGTGGATCTGGGCTGAGACCTGAAAAAAATCTCAGCATTTCTAATTGCTCTCAAGAAGCCTTAATGTCACTGGTTTCTGTTGTATCCCTGGGTGTTTTTTCAATGAGTGGAGACCTCATCAACGGTCTGAAGAAGGTTATTTTCACTGCTTTGGTAAATTACAAACGTTTCCTAATAAATGAAAAGTATCGCATGAATGCATCATCTTCTAAATACGCTGCCTGAGTATATTGTTACTTCCTTCACTCTCCGTTTCTTCCATATTTCTGCAATCTCCTTGCCCCTCACCCTCTTAGAATAACCTTGGGTCATTCCCTAATAACCAGGCCTCTCTGTATGAGGGAACTCCTAGCATCTCATCAACTCTAGACACATGCATTCAAATTAAATAAGTGGCTCAGTCATTTCCAGCCTGTTGATTGCCTTTGTGATTCCCAGGCCAAGTTGGGTTTTTCAATGAATCCCCACCTATATTTTCAATATTCTTCAATTGCTTTCTACCCTGAAGCTAAAGTCACAAAATGATACAAATAGGAAAGGAAGAATCAAAATCAAACTATTCTTATTTGCACATGCTATGACACTTTACTTAAAAATCTGGTGGTGGTGCAAGCCTTTAATTCAGCGCTCAGGAGGCAGAGGCAGACAGATAGGCAAATCTCTGTAAGTTAGAGTCCAGCTGATCTACAGAGTTACAAAGTGAGTGCTGGAGGGGGGAGGGAGAGGGAACTGGGATTAACATGTAAAACAAGCTATTTAAAATTAAAATAAATAAATAAATATATCCAGAATCTATGAAAAATTTTTAAACGCTAAACAATATTAAAAATAGGGCTAGCCAGGCGTTGGTGGCGCACGCCTTTAATCCCAGCACTCAGGAGGCAGAGGTAGGTGGATCTCTGTATCTCTGTGAGTTCGAGGCCAGCCTGGTCTACAAAGCGAGTTCCAGGACAGCTTCCAAGATAATACAGAGATCCCAGCACTCGGGAGGCAGAGGCAGGCGGATCTCTGTGAGTTCGAGACCAGCCTGGACTACCAAGCGAGTTCCAGGACAGCCTCCAAAGCCACAGAGAAACCCTGCCTCGAAAAAAAACAACAACAACAACAACAACAAGATAATACAGAGAAACCCTGTCTCGAAAAACAAAAACAAAAACAAAAAAAATAGGGCTGGAGAGATGGCTCAGAGGTACTGAGTTCAGTTCCCAGCAATCACATGGTGGCTCACAACCATCTGTAATGAGATCTGGTGCCTTCTTCTGACCTGCAGACATATATGCAGACAGAATACTGTATACATAATAAATAAGTCTGGAAAAGAAACATCAATGTACATGAAATAAAAATTAATTAAAATATTAAAAATAATAATCCAATTATTAAATGAGCAAATTAATAAAAAAGATGGTTCTTAAAAGAAGTACAAATGTCTAATGGCTTGTTTTAAATGTTAAACATTGTTTGTCATCTAAGAAATGCAAATCACAACTGCACAGTCTATCTCATCCCAGTGAAAATGGCCAAAAGGAAGAAATCAAGGAAGCACTGGAGAAGATGGAGGACAGGAAACACTTGTACACTGTTGGTGGAAGTGTAAATTAATGCAGCTGTTGGCGAAATTAGAATAGAGGGTTAAAAAATCTAAAAGTATAACCGTCACATGATCCAGGTAGATCCCTCATGGGTATATACAAAGAATATCATAATGTAATATGGACATCTGGCATCCTTTTTTTGTTTGTTTTTGAGATAGGGATTCTCTGTGTAACAGTCTGGCTGACCTGGAACTCTCTGTGTGGACCAGGCTGGCCTCAAACTCAGAGACTCATCTGCCTCTGCCTCCTGAGTGCTAGAATTAAAGCCATGCACTGCCACCTCCTGGCTTAACATCCATTTTTAATTAATATGGCACTATTCACAATAGCTGAGCTATAGAATCAACCTAGGTATCCACTAACAAATAGATGAAGCGGTAGGGCACACGTGCGTGCGTGCATGTGTGTGTGTGATGGACTTTAGTTCAGACAAATAGAAAAACCAAATAATATAATTTTCAGGAAAATTCTTACAGCATGGGTTTTTTGGGGTTTTGTTTGTTTGTTTGTTTTTTGGTTTGGGTTTAAAAAAACAAACACTGTTCATTAGTGTTGTGGTTTGACATAATATCACCCCAAAGGGAGTAGCACTATTAGACATGGCCTTGTTTGAATAGGTGTGGTCTTGTTGGAGGAAGTATGTCACCGTGGGAGTGGGCTTTGAGGTCTCTTATGCTCAAGCTATGCCCAGGATCACAGGTCACTTCCTGTTGCCTATGAATCAAGATGTAGGACTCTCAGCTTCTTCTCCAGCACCATGTTTGCCTGCATGCTGCCATGTCCCACCATGTTGATAATGAACTAAACCTCTGAAACTGCAAGCCAGCCCCATTAAATGTTTTCCTTTATAAGAGTTGCATGGCTATGGTGTCTCTTCACAGTAACAGAAACCCTAACTAAGACAAAATTTGTACCAGGACTGGGGCATTGCTGTGATAGGTTGAACTGTGCTTTGTTTGTAAGAATTTGTACTTAGGTACTTTGGTTTACAACAGAATAGTTTAATGGTTCATGCTAGTAGGAACATAGAAGAGTTGAACTGTGGCGACCTGGCTCAAGAGGTTTCAGAGGAGAAGAATTTTAGTGTGTTGCCTAGATATCGTTCTTGTGAGTTTTGGTGAAGAATGTGACTGCTTTTTGACCTTGTCCAAATATTCTGCCAGAGACTATAGTGAAGATATTTGGATTAATTCTGTTGACAGAGGAAATCTCAAAACATCCTAGCATAGACCTCTGTTGTGTACTTATTAGTGTTAACGCTAATGAAGATATTGAAAAGGAGCAAGCTGAGCAAGGAAAAATACAAAATGTACAATTTAAAAAGGGGAACCAGGAAGTGGAATGGAGCTACATCCCATATTCAAGGAGAAAAACAGATTAAGGAATAGAATAAATGGCACACACCTTTAATCCCACCATTCGGGAGGCAGAGGCGATGGATCTCTGGGTTCAAGGCTAGCCTGGTCCACAGTGTGAGTTCCAGGATGGTCAGGGCTACACAGAGAAACCCTATTTTGCAAAGCCGAGAGAGAGAGAGAGAGAGAGAGAGAGAGAGAGAGAGAGAGAGAGAGGTTTTAGTGTAGATCTAAGAAATAGCTTTGATGCTAGAAATGTGGCTTAGCAGTCAAGAGCACTTACTGCTCTTGCCAAAGAGTTGAGTTTGATTCCTATCATCCACATTATAACTCCAGTGGCCTGTAACTCCAGCTCCAAGGGATCTGATGCCTCTGTCCTCTGGAGGCATCTGCACATGAGAGCGTGCGTGCTTGCATACATGCATACATACACACACACACACACACACACACACACACACCACATATTTTTTGTGGTCACATTACCAGTCCTGTAAGGGGCAGTATCTTTTCTCTAGTAAGCATATGAGTCTGTCCCCTAAAAGTTCCTGCCAGCCATGCCTAGTGGCTGGCATCTTAATGACCATCATATAAAACTAATTCAAAACACTATAGACCTAAAAGTAAGAGCTAAAATTATAAAATTCTTAGAGAAAAACATAGGAAATATTTTTTCTGTGACAAACTCTGCAGCTACATCCTTAGTTATCAATAGAATCCATACATTGCCACAGTTAGAAATATCATAGGGACTCTGAAACTGCTATTCCCGAAAGCCTTGACTCTTCACTCAGGCCTGTAGATATCTCAGGGTCACTGAGGACCAGATACAAAGGTTTGCATCTCAGCTTGGCACTTCAACATATTAATCATTTAAGGAGTGTTTATTTAAAGCTGGTGACCTTCCTCCTTCAGGGCTGAGCACACCAAGATAAGAGTAACTAAGGTATTTTCAAGATTCACAAGACCATAATAGTCAACAGATTATTGATCTCCAGCGTTTACACTGTCCTTTGCCGACCACAGGAAGGTACCTGAAAGTCTTTAGCTATTGCCCTAAAAACTACAGCAAAGGTTCTGTACAGCTGACCGAGTCAGGGGGGGAGTTATAGGCTCATATCTGCCCCCCCTCCCCAAGCAGTTGGTAGCAGAATATAAAGGAAGGAGAAGGGAGAGTTGCTCACACATTTTCTAAGTCAGTCACTTTTTGACAGCAATACTATACCAGAGAAAAACAACTTAAAAGAAGAAAGATTCTGTTTGGCTCACAATTTTAGGGGTTTTGGTCCATGGCTGGCTGTATTGCCTTTGGGCTCATGGAAAGACAGATAGAGGACCATGAAGGAAAAAAAATCTGCTCACCTTATGGCTGGCAGGAAAGGGGGAGGGGGCAGGGACAAAATAGACCTCTCAAAGGACTCCCAGAGACCCACTTGTCCCTACAGGCTCCACCTCCTCCTAATAGTCCATTCAGCTATTAATTCATCAATGGGTTAATGAGATTAGCTTGTTTTTATGATCAATCATTTCTCAGTAATGACACCAGTTGGGAACTATAGGGAAAAGGGACCAGTCAAAGAAACATACCCTGAGCAGAGCCAAAGAAACACACTTTGGCACTGCAATCAGAACCAAAGAAATGTACCCTGACCCTAAAACCAGTGTCAAAGGAACACACTTT